TGGTCAGCCTGGTCAAATACCACTAAAAAGTCCAACAAAATAAGAAATCACAGTTTAAAATTTATTTAATCACAAAAAATTAATTTTGACCCTGGCAAAAATTCAACAAAGTTATGAAGGAGGGCAGAATGTTGCAAGTTGAAGAGTGAATGACACTGGGAAGCAGAACAGTGTAGACCACAGGGATGGCTCCAAAGAAAAGAAGAGAGAGAGACTAGGAATTGAAGGAGTTGCTCATTGAAGAAAAAGCTATTAGGTTTTTGGTTTTCATTTTCTATGACAAAAGGATTAAGCAATCAATAAGGAAGGCCAAGGACAGGCCCCTGTGAAGAGATTCAATTTGAACAGGGGATTAAAATGTCTTTTATTGTTATAGGGAAAACAAAAGAAATATGAAGCCAGATCTCTTTTTGTCCTAATGTGTTCAAATCAGCCATAACTATCTCACCTGTCACCTATTATTGGTGATGTGTTAAAGTCAGAAACACAGTAGTACATTGATTCTGTCCCCCAAAGCCTTTTTTTACTTAAGTAATCCATCCACATAGAGAAAAATAATAATAGCAACCTATAATAATTATTTATTTGTAATAGCATTATAAATACTATATTACAATAAATTAATAAGTATACTATACAATAAATTAAAAATGACATTTTATGATAAATAATAAAAAAAACTATTTCCATCCCAAGAAACTCAATTCTCCTCAAGAGAACCACTATTACTAGTTTAAAGAGAAAAATATGTGCACTTACAAATATATGTATAAACACATTTTTATACAAATGTCAACACACCGATCTTGCTCTACTAAAAGTACTTTACTTAGTTCACTTGGTACTATCTCTTAAACATTGTTCCTCATCAGGGTGTGTATATTTAATCTCAATTCTTCTTAAGAGATATGTCATTTTTCACTCTCTGGGAATACACACCATGATTTATTTAATCAGTCACTTATTAATGGACTATTATTTGCTTCTAGGTTCCAATTATAACAAACATTGTTGAAAGATTGATTATTAGTGTACATCGAAGTTTGAAAAATATACAAGAATATCTGAAAGTGAAAGTGTTGAGTAGAAAAATGTGAGAACTTTAAATTTTGCTCCATGTAGCCACATTTCCCTCAAAAGAGGTTTCACTGTTTTCTTTATTATTGTCGTTTTTTTCTCTCTATCCTCAGCAAGAAAGCCTGGCTCTTCACATATGCTGCTGATGGTTCAGACTCTTCATCTGACATGACCCATGTCTGCCCTTCAGCTCTCTGTTATGCAAGGCTGATGACCACAAGAAATAAACATCTGATGGGGAAGGCCTGCACCTACTACCCACAGCTATTATTGAACCTCCCTACTCCCCTCACTGTTTTAATATGAGCTTATGATGGATATAGGATCCTTCAGAATTCACTGGATCGGTAGCCAAATAAGGTCATTGCCATAGAACTTCTACCACATCTTTCAAATCATACCTTGGGTGGGGAATTTTCATGTTCTAATTTCTAGGGATGGGCTCTACAATCTAGTATATAGTTTTTTTTCCTACATTTAATTACAATGAGTGTAGTACATTTAATTACATACTGTTTCTCTGGCTCATAAAAGCTATATGACATTTAACACAGACTTTGTCATAATTCTATAAACAATTGCGGAAAGTCCCCGAGGAAGTATGTTATCAGCACAGGGCCTAAGTAAGGAAATTATTATTGGTGTTATTATTATTTTTTAAGTTGTATTCAGATGCCAAATACGTGATAGAATCCCAGGGAATTGTTATACTCTTTGGGGATGTAAGGCTTATTAAAAGCCCAAAAGTTTGGTTTGGACACATACAATTAAAAACAAAATATGATTATAATTGATTGTCTACCCAAGTGAAATAGCAGGCCATTAATTAGCTTTAAATTCTGGTCACATTAGTTTAAACAGAGATTTCCTGCCATGATCTTCTAAGACCATGAGACACTGGAAGTATGCCCAAGGGGAATTGTGGGATTCTCAAAGGATCCTGATAATACAATTAATTTTAATTCACCTTCTTCTTAAAGTTAATTGGAGAGCTTATAACACATTCGAGGAAAAGAGAAGGAGCTTAATTCTGGCATCAAATAATTCAACAGCCCAGAACCTCAGCATAAAGATAGCAAATTTTCAAAAATGCAAATTTTATTATATCACTTTCTTATATTCAGTCCTCAAGTGTTGGTTCTCCCCTGTAGGATCCAGGTCTACCTTGCTAGCATATATATGTAAGTTCCTACATTCCTAATGTTGTCTCTTTTCAGGATTCCACATGCATTCTAAAGTAGGACAGAAGAGGCTGGACACCCGAAGAATTTTCAGGAAGCAGGTTTATTGGCTGAAGATGGACGGTCCAGAGTGTGGCTCATGCCTGAAACATTCTCTGGACCGAGATTCTGGAAATTCTTTGAACTTCATACCCAGTTGTGTCAGGGGGGTGGCAGGAGATTGGAGGTTCACATAACAAGTGCTCTCTGTTCTATCCCCTAGATCAGACACAGGTTTCACAAATTTTTTACCAAAAAAAACAGAGATGATATATTTTTGTACAACAAGTTTGCAGACTCAACTCTATCACCCCTTTTGTGTATAAACCTGGCATTTACAAGAAAGAGACAGCTTCAAACCACAATGACTTCTGCAGACATCCCACCTGCTGATACTCTTGTAAAACTATTTCTGACAAGAGGAGAAGCTTATTTATGGCAAGGTTCCTCTGGATGAGGGTCTCTGACCTGTTCCAATTCTACACACAGTTGGGCATTAGGGCCCCCTGTATACTACTCCTTCTACAGGTACTAATACATCTTCCACCACCCTCCCTGCCTTCTATCAGAACAACTTTGGCACTCAAAGCTGAGCTCAAATGTCAGCTTCTTAGGTTGGGGATGTATCTCAGTTGTAATGTGTTCAAGGTCCTGGGTGCAATTCCCTGAACTTAAAAAAACCAGCTTCTGTGAAACATTCTCTGACATTTAACACCTACCCTCTACTCTCAGTATGAACTTCTCTTTGCTTCTATGGTACCATATACTTTCCTCTCTTAGCATCTGCTTTGATTATTGTTAACACATCTGTACTTGCATAAGCCAGAAGTTTCTTAAAAACAAATTTTTTTTTAAAAAAAGTGATCAATACCAACTATACCACTTGGTACATGACTGGAGTTTAAGAAGTTTTGACTGCTCAGGAGTTTCATGTTTAAAAACACAAATCTACTGATCTACATCCCACCATGAATGAGATGGAAGAGTAGGCCATAGAACTCTGTCAGCTCCCAGTGAAGCTCCTTTCCTTTCCCATCCTCTCAACCTTTCTTTGTCCCCATGACAATCTTCTGGGGAAAGCATCAATCCAAATTCCATTGTGCACCTTTCCTCAAGATGGCCTGATCTTACTCTATTGAAAGTAGGAAAAGATTTTTCTGGCTCCTTTTGGTGCTTCCAGGATTTTATTCCTCCCTCCCCTATAAAAACTATGTTTTAAAGTTTAATCATCCTTTGGAATAAAAAGACAGAAGGAGAATGAAGGACACACAATAAGTCATATAATCAAGATTATTTATGAAAGCTCTCATTATCCTAAGCCTACCTCACCATTCTCCCATTCTCCATTATGGCAAGGTTCCCATTCTCCCATTCTCCATTCACCTCTAAGATGCCTCAGAGGTGCACTAACATGGTCTAGTTACATGTATGGCTACTGTGCTCTCAAATTGTGGCTAGTCCAACTTGACATGTGCTCTAAGTATAAAATTTACAACAAATTCCCAAGACATTGTGAAAAAAAATGAATGCAAAATACCTTTGGAATAATTGTGTGTTGATTACATGTCAAAATGATATTTTGATGTATTAAACTAATAGATGATTCAAATTAATTTCAGGATGTTTTTTAAAATTTTTCTGGGGTATCTAGGAGATTTTAAATGACATGTATTGCTTGCATTGGGCCTCACTTAATATTCTCCTGGGCAGTTCTGCTTTAGCCTTCATATGTCCTTAACCTAGAGGCAGGGGCTGGCTCTCCTCCCACTTAAGCCCAGATACATCAGATTGTTGCCCACAGTGGAGGAGGCTATGGATCCAAGACAGATCCAGCCTGCTCAACCAGGCAGTGTTTCTGAGCTTCAGAGACTCTGCCTTTCAGACCTGAAGAATGAACAACACTGGCCAGTCTTCAGCGAATTTGTTCATGTTCCAAGAGTTGAAACACCTTTGTAGACTTGATCTTACATTTTATCCCAGGACCCAAAATGACTCCTTTCCTTCATTTTACCCCTGGTAGTAGTACATCTAACAATTTTGTGCAATGGAATAAAATAAACTGCCTGAGATAGAGGCCTCCGAGGAAGGCAGATGGCTGCCTCATTGAAGCCATTCTCTCTGTCATCAGAAAGCAAAGCAAAGAGACACCAAGGAGGGCAGAATGCTGCTGGAGTTGGGAAGAAAGAAGCAGTCAAGATCTGATGAGAAGACTCTGCCTTTTTTTTTACCTTTTTTTATTGAGGAAAATCCATAACAGCAACATCAGGAAGGAAAAAGTGAGCACACACAGACAAGATTACAGCTGTGGAGGCTACTAGAGAAGAGTAAAGTGGACATGTTAATAAAATAATAATCCCAAACGATTGATGTTGGTAATGTACTTTGATTTTACAAACATAGTACATGAGATCTCTTATTTGATCCACATAAAACAACAATAAATACCCTTTTAAAATATGAGTATGAGAGTTTACTTGCTAAAGTGAAACCAGAAGGCAATCATAATTATTTTTTGCTATGAATCAGATTTTTAGCATAAATCTACCAGAAGACAAGTGAATAAGGAGGAATATGGCAAAAATAACTTTTTTGTTTGAATTTATACAGATCTCCTTGAATAACCAAAACAGGTTTTTTCTTTAAAAATTAGCACTTTTGTCTCTTTTTCTTCCTGGCTTCCTGAGGATTGGCCCCAACATAAATGATACAGTAACTATCTAGACCTAGACCAGGAAGTACATGACCAACCGACTACTTCAGAGGAAAGAAATGGTCTTTGATATCCTCCACCCTGGGAAGGCAGCAGTACCTAAGACAGAAATTCAGAGGAAGCTAGCCAAAATGTACAAAACCACACCAGATGTTACCTTCGTGTTTGGATTCAGAACTCATTTTGGAGATAGCAAAACAACTGGCTTTGACATGATTTATGTTTCCTTGGATTTTTCAAAAAAAAAAAACAAATCTAAATATAGACTGGCAAGACATGACTTGTATGATAAGAAAAAGACAACAAGAAAACAGCAAAAGGAACATAAGAACAGAATTAATAAGTTCAGCAGGACTTCGAAGGAAAATATTGGTGCTGGTAAAAAGCTAAAGGAGGGAAGATTCTTTTATTTTTAATAATTAATTATTTTTTATTTATTTTTTGATTTTTAAAAAAATAAATGACAGCATAATGCATTACAATTCTTATTACACTTATACAGCACAATTTTTCATATCTCTGGTTGTATATAAAGTATATTGACACCAATTTTTGTCTTCATACATGTACTTTGGATAATGATGTTCATCACATTCCACCATTCTTGCTAATCCCCTGCCCCCTCCTATCCCTCCCACCCCTCTGCCCTATCTAGAATTCATCTATTCCTCCCATTCTCCCCCTCCCTACCCCACTAAAGGGGGGAAGATTCTGCGATGACTTTGTATTCAGTAACTGAAAATTTTTCATGAGAGGATTAATAAACTGTAAAAACTTCAAAAAGCAAAAATCAACACTTTTTTCTTCATGGAAACAATAGGAATAGGATCATCATTTAAAATTCAAAAAGAAGTAAAAAAAACACTGGTGTTCATACTTCTCAACAATAACTAATATATTTTGAGGCAATTATTATTAATAATAAGTTATATTTATTGAGGGCCAGGCACTACTATAAATGCTTTCATGTAATAACTCATTTAATGCCAAATACTTTATTATATAGAAATGATATTAGGATAGTCTCCAATTGAAGTTGGAAAAACAGACTAAAAACAATTTGAGTAATTTGCCTAAAGTCAGTCAATAAGAGATACGGACAAGTTTTAAAATTAAGTAAGCAGTCTGAATCTAGGGTTTTTATCTGTTTGATTTATAGCTTTTTTCCTATGTATATTTTTCTGAGAATGAGATTAAACTGTATACAGTTCTATTTTTTATATGACTTGAAAGCATAATATTTATTGCTGACTTTTTCTTTCTTTATGAGAGTAGTGTCATAATTATCATGTCACTACTAATCATAGACTTGTTTATATTATAAATGCCACAATTCTCAGCCACCCTCATAATTCAGGACTCTTGTCTTGAAATTAGATATTAGGATATAGTAAAGCTGCTTCTGTTTGGATTAATTTGCTATTTTATCCACTATGGCAAGTTGAGGACATTATTTTATGGCTGACCAGTGTAAGTGTAAATAAAAAGAGTCATAGAGACAAGATGCAGAGGCAGGAAAGATGGCAGAATGACAGAGAGGCCAAACTGCCAAGCTTTATTTATATCAATAGGTTACTTTAGGTCATTAATGCCATAACTACATTATTTTTTGGTGTTCCTTTATTCCCAGGAGCTAATGTCTGAGATCAAGATCCAGGCTGATAAGACTCAAGCACATAGCCTCTGCACAAAGGACATTACCATAGCAACTAGATACTGCACCTATATTAGTTATATTACTAGCTTCTAGGAGAAACTGCAGGACATTCTAAGGGTAGGAAACAGAGTGCCTGTTACCTACCCCACACCCACTCCTGGAAGTCTGCTCACCAGAGGAACATTTCCCTGTATATTTCCACAGTCAGAATCCCTACAGACCAGTTACCAAAAGACCATCAAAACCACATTAACTTCTCAGGACCTGCTTTGCTACTTATCAAGACATCCTCAAAGTCACCAAATAACCATGATTCCAGCTGTAGTCTTTAATATTTTTACATTTATATTTCTTCACACTAAGTTATTCCATAATATTCTGACACACACAAAAAACATTTAAAAAGGCAAGAAGAGTAGGAGTCTGGATTTGCAGACTAAATGTACTTTTGTACCCTTTCCATGTTATGCATGTAATTCATTCTCTAAACTCTATATAATTCATAAGTTATTTCTGCTGCTGTCTTCAATATCTTTTTTGTATTGATCAGGAAGTTTTGTGAGCATATTCTTGCCTCTCTTGGGCACCTCAACTTCGCCTTATAATTTCCCTAAGAATTTCAAGGTGTTATATATGAAAAATAGATAATACATCAATTATCCAATTTTTCTGCAAAACTTTTTCATATTATTTCATATGGCTGAATATTCAGAAGTAAAATTATTATGTCAAGTGTATTATGATACATAGTACCATCACTTTTAAAATAACTGCTCCAATTTGTTCTTTTACCAGCATATACATACATTTTTATCTTTTTAACTGACACATAAAAATTATACATATTTATAAGATACCATGTGATGTTTCAGTATGTTTATACATGGTGTAATATTTAAATATGGGTAAAACATGTCTTCTCAGATATTGATTATTTCTTTGTGGTGAAAAATTCCAAAAATTTTTTCCATTAGCATTTTTACTTGAAATATACATTATCATTATCTATAGTTAATCTACTGTGTAGTAGAACACCAAAAGTTATTTCTTCTAACTTAGTATTTGTTTACCAGGCTCTCCTCATTCCTCCCTCCTTTCTGCTCTTCCTTAATCTCTTACATCCACCATTCTAATCTATTTTCTAGATCAATATTTTAAAATTTCATGTATATGTGAGATCATGCGGTATTTTATTCTTGTGCCTGTCTTATTTCACTTAACATGTATTTCAGTTATTAGATAAAAAAATTAATTTTTGTTCAAAATTTCGGCTTTTTATTGCTAATGAGGTTGGATATTATTAATGCTTAAGAATTTATATTTCTACTTATGTTGTTTCCCATATACTTTCTGCCAGTTTATTTATAGAGAAATATATTTCTTCTGTTGATGAAAGTAAGTCTAATGGTGTGAGAAATATTTAACTTGGTTGATTCACTCAATATGCTTCTCATTTCCCTCTGATAGAAGGTGGACAACTAAAATTCTTCTTCTAGACTCCTGCAGTTAGAGAAGGCCATGTGTTGCAATTCTAGCCCAGGAGATGTAAGCAGACCTGTTAGAGTCTGTAAACAAGTCAAAATAACACCTGGCATTTTGCCAGGGGAATATTAGAGTTCGTAAACAAGTCTGGATGGTGCCTGGCAAAATGCCAGAGGGAGTGGTTTGAGAAGTAACAAAAGCAAGCCATTAAGTGTGGAGATTCCTTATTGGTTGACTGCTGTATCTAGTTTATGTTAATCAAGATAAGCTGTGTGTAATGTGTATATACCCCTCCGGTCCTACAATAAACGGCTCCCTCTCCTGCTGTATCAACGTACACAAGTTGTTAGTCACCCCCCTGATTATTTTGCTGCAGCCAGCAGGACTGCGGCACAGACCCTCCCTATGCTGTATTGCTATTGTTTTCTTTCTGCCTGTATGATGGTTGGAGTTGCAATAGTTATTAATAGACACTGCAGAACAGAACAGTGGGGGGAAAAAGAACAAAACAGCTGGTCTCCTGGTAATATAACTGAGTCACACTATCAGAAACGCACCACCAGACTTCTTGTTTCATGGTTAATACCCTTGAAGCAAACTCCACTTTTTACTTGGGTTTTCTTTATTCCAAGTGAAAGTCAAATCTGATAAGATAGATGTAAGCACTTTCTGTGTTACACTGACAGCACATGTTCTCACAATTCATGAAATAACCTACCTTATGTAATCTCAGAAGAACTTTTTCCATTCTGATGTTGATGTACATATTGATATTTTTCTTTATGATTCCTCACATCACTTTTAAGGGAGGAAATTTCTCCCCTTCAAAGTTCTATTTTGATTGTGTTATACACATTTGATTCTTAGGTATACCTAGAAAATTTTGATAAGTAGCTTGTAATTCTCTAGGAGTCTATGCCTCAAGGAAATATGTAGGCCTCATTAAATGGAATTGAAATACTGGATAAATATCATTGGGGCATTATTCTGGAAGATGGTATAGTTATCATCAATTCTCAACAGAATCTATAGTCAAGATGTCTTAAGGATATTATCTCATTGAAATTATACAGTTATTTATCTCATACTAGACAAAGGTGCCATAAACATACATTGGAGAAAGACAGACTTTTCAAAGAATGATGCTGGGAAAACTGGAAATCCAAATATAGTAGAATGAACTTTGAAACCCTGTCTCTCATTCTGCTCAAAACTCAACTCAAAGTAGATCAAGGACCTAAGCATTAGATCAGAGACCCTGAGCCTACTAGAAGAAAAGGTAGGCCCAACCCTCCATCATGTCGTCTTAGGAACCAACATCCTCAATAAGACTCCTAAAGCACAAGAAGTAAAATCAAGAATCAATAAATGGTATGGTATCAAACTTAAAAGCTTCTTCACAGCAAAGGAAACAATAAAAAATGTGAACAGAGAGCCTAGAGAATGGGGGAAAAATCTTTGCCACCTGAACCTCAGATAGAGCATTAATCTCCTGGATATACAAAGAACTCAAAAAACTTAACACTAAAAACATCAAATAACACAATCAATAAATGGGCAAGTGAACTAAACAGACACTTCACAAAAGAAGAAATTACAAATTTTTCAATTAAAAATATTAGCATACTCAAACCAAAAAAAATATACACAATTGTGGACTTCAGTTTGTTCTCAGCAGGTAAGATTCTGATGAAGAACAAAAATCAAATCTATGCTAACATTCCATTTCAAGGAATTCTATGAAATCATTTATTCTATGTTTTATACCGTTTTTTACTTTTAAGCATAATTTTTCTTTATTCTTTACAAGTGGACTCAAAAAGAATTTTATCTTACCAAAATGTCTCTTATTTGGGAACAATTTTTAAACTTTGCACATAACTTTTCTCAGGGCAACCTTCATCTCCTTATTCCTGAGGCTGTAGATCAAAGGGTTTAAAAGTGGAGTTGCAATTGAGTAGAACATGGTCACAAATTTCTGCAGGCCAGGCTGTTTGGCTGCTCCTGGGCTTATATACATCACCATGATTGAACCATAAAATAAGGAAACCACTACCAGGTGGGAGGCACAGGTGGAGAAGGCTTTTCTTCTGCTTGAATCTTTGGGAATCTGAAGCACAGATCGAAGGACCAGAATGTAGGACAAAAGAATGTAGAACAAAGTGATGAGCATTATCACAGCACTGAAAGTGCTACAAGTCAGAGTTGTCTTGGGAACAGGGACACATGATATGGCCAGCATTGCCCCCAGGTCACACAGGTAATGATCAATGACAT